CCTCCAGGACTGAGTTTGGACATCCCTGGTCTAGAGGTACATAGTGTAATATCTCTTCTTGAAAAATGATATTTGTAGGTTTAATTGTTATTTTGATTGTTTTGGTCTGTGATGTGAAATTATTTCTGAAATCATTAAATGAATGTTCTGGTCTGTGATCAGGCCAGGTTTTTTTGTTTTGTTTTCTCTTTCTTTTTCTTCTTTGCATTTCTATTTTGTCCTTGGTTCTGCGGATTGTGATGATCTGCATCCTGTAAGAAATTTCAAGTTTGATGGCGAGCCATCCGAATCTACTACGGTGAAAGAATCTACTACGGTGAAAGAATCTACTACGGTGAAAGGACAACAATTCGTAAAGAAGAGGACAATATCCTTTCCCTTCTGCTCCAGTCTTGCTGTAGCGAGACAATTCACATTTAGAGACTATTGAGTTTTTTTTTCAAGATTTACAGACGAGTACAGAGACTGATAAAAAACTGATATGTGCTTTGAAAAGCATTAAATACTTGTGAGGGTGTATGGTCACATATAGCTAAAATTGATTGGTAAATTTGATTAATATTGAGGTTTTTGTTCAATCAAATGATTGACATTTGTGATATTTTGAGAGAAGAGTGTTTAAGGAAAAAAAGACACCACTCCATTATTCATTATTTTATTCATTTTATTTTATTTTCTTCTGTCATTGCAATTATTTGTGTATGTTTTGGGGCAAAAGAAGAGTGCACTCTAGGGGAATTGTCATGTTTGAACTGTGTGTATAATTGACTGATATTGTAATTACCCTTTCTGATTCGGTTTATTTTCATTGGAAACCAAATTAGATACCAGTTCGTATTCAACCTGTGTCGTTTGTTGTTTCTCACCACAACCCGCTACCTCCTTTACGAGCTAAAAAAGAATCTTCTGATGAATTATCTGCACCAATAAAATTTTTATTAATTGTTAAATACTACAGACACCCGTTACACGTGACGTGATTGCTACTGAATGAGTTAAAGACCTATCAGCCTGCACCGTATCATCTAGAGTTTCATGCCAGAACTAGGTATTAACTACAACAGCAGGCAAAGTTTCTGCTGTGTAAAAAAAAAAACTCAGGCTCTATATAGAAAATCAAGTGATTACTCTACTTTTAATAACGGCCATAAATTATAAAATGGTTATCAGGATGGACCATTGAGAATTATTACAAACTTGATCACTGTGAAATCTAATTAACATGAGAAAGGGGGTTACATTTACATCCAAATGGTAATTAATCTACACAGAACTGAGCCAAACCACAAAGTAGCTATAAACTGCCTAAAGCATCTGGATTCCCATTTGGTGAACTGAAAGTGCTATAGACAGACAGTCTCATAGGACATGATGGATGCAATGGATGGGACATTAACAGGTTAAAATGAATGCTCTTTCTTTCTTTCTTTCTTTCTTTCTTTCTTTCTTTCTTTCTTTCTTTCTTTCTTTCTTTCTTTCTTTCTTTCTTTCTTTCTTTCTTTCTTTCTTTCTTTCTTTCTTTCTTTCTTTCTCTTTCATCAATTAATGAAATGTTTTGTTTGTTTTGTTTTTTCTTCTTCTTCTGTTTGCTTCTGCATGATGTATGATTGTGACAAAAATAACAACATTTGGCAAGCTATCTTTTAGAGAGGCTGTTTCTTAGTCTTAATCTGGATTTAACATTTTTGGTTGTAATTGTAGCCATCACTTCTGACAGTTCTAATAACTACATCCTGACATCATATCTGTGACATTTAAAGTAATATAATTTGATGTTCATTAGACATCATTATAATTGTGTGCTTGGGGCATGGATTTTAATGGTGAAACTTTTGTTTTTGTAATCAGGCTCTCAAAAACTATATCAAAAATTGGATTTAGATTTATTGGCAAATATATCGGTTATCGGCTTTCAAATGTATAGAATTATTGCTTGTAGTATCTGCCAAAAAGTTCATATCGGTGCATCCCTAATCTTTGTAATTCTTAAAGATATCAATCAACTGGGGAAGGTGATATCTGTTAGTTAATTTTTTTTTACCCTATTCACCTGGGGTGTTTGCATTAAGTCATAATACTTTTCTTATAAGTAGTCAGTTTTGTCATTTTGTAATATTGATGTGCATTAAAACATCACTTATTTTTAACTCAAATGTTTTATATGCTAAGACAAGTGAAGCATTCAATTGAAATAATTTCCAACAAACTGCTGTGGTCTGCTAACCTGACTCCGCCAGATGGATTTGCTCCGCATATCCATCTGGAAACCTTCCGTTGAAGTAGTTTTGGTAAGGGGCGAAAATACTGGTTAGCTGATTGGCCTATGTTGGTGATAGACGGGCCAAATCAACCAATCAGATCAACGAAGCATATGACGTACTAACAGAGCGTATCTTTTCCTCTGAGAAAAGCCTCCAGAGCAGTGTTTTGCTCTTCTTTCAGTGAAGAAATACTCTGTAATTCCGATAAAACTTGCTCGATAGCCACGCTGATGCTAGTTTCATCCGCTGAAGCCGACATGTTCTTTAGACTGAACTGTCGCGCTTCTCGTTGCGTCACACCTCAACCCGCCTCAAAGCCAACGCTGATTGGACGTTCGTTTGGTGAACTGCTCCCAAATTTTCTTTAACGGAAAGTATCCAGACTGATCTGCGAGTGAAACCTTGAAAGCTCGCGAGATCAGGATGGTCTCACGAGGCTAGTGGTCTGCTAGAGCATTTTGAAAATGGGCATACATAAAAACATGATTTACATAATGTCAAGTAACGAAGATGGGATTAGGAAGAGGCTCATCTTCATCCTCCTTGTGACAGCCAGAATTAAGGGTGGTGAAGAGATTTATTAATCAAAGGACATTCAGAGACCATTAAGAGACGGAGCTGACGAAAGAGATCACAACACTGAGAACAGTCTGATGGCAAATGCCTGCTTATTCCCAGCAATCACCTGATTCATGACAGCCTTGACTCATAAAAACATTGTCTTTATTCAACTTCATTTCACAACGATAGACAGTTATTGTATAGAAAGAATTAAATGCCATTAACCTTTAAACATTTTCTTTTTTATCTATCTTTTATCATTAATTATGGTAGCACTTGCTGAGAGAAGTCAAATTAATAAATAATAATAATTATAATTCATTACATTTATATAGCGCTTTTCTAGGCACTCAAAGCGCTTCACATGGAAGGGGGAATCTCCTCAACCACCACCAATGTGCAGCATCCACTTGGATGATGCGACGGCAGCCATATTGCGCCAGAACGCCCACCACACACCAGCTTACTGGTGGAGAGGAGACAGAGTGATGAAGCCAATCAGTGTATATATATATATATATATATATATATAGGGATGATTAGGAGGCCACGATGGACAGAGGCCACTGGGCAAATTTGGCCAGGACGCCGGGGTTACACCCCTACTCTTTCGAAAGACATCCTGGGATGTTTAATGACCACAGAGAGTAAGGACCTCGGTTTAACGTCTCATCCGAAGGACGGTGCTCTTTGACAGTATAGTGTCCCCGTCACTATACTGGGGCGTTAGGACCCACACAGACCACAGGGTGAGCGTCCCCTGCTGGGCTCACTAACACCTCTTCCAGCAGCAACCTGGTTTTCTCAGAAGGTCTCCCATCCAGGTACTAACCAGGCTCAGCCCTGCTTAGCTTCAGTGGGCAACCACCAGTCTTGGGCTACAGGGTGATATGGCTGCTGACAAATGAATATGCCTTCATTATTTATATCCAAATAATATTCAAATGTTATCTACAAACCCACCCACCAGTCACACAGTCAGAACACAATCTGTACCTACAATTACAATCTGACAGATGCTTTTGGAGGTTCCCGTCACGAACAAGATTACAAAATAAGCCCTCAGATACCGCACTGCCCACTTTACTTAATTCCTCTTCTGATTGGTCAATCACGACATTTAGCAGTCACATATTTCTAAATTATTACACTTGACCAATCATCCAGGAAACCTGTTTACTACATGGGCCCCTGTTTTGTCTCATCAATGAGATAATATAATAATTTCTATAAAAAATCATAATTTTCAGACTTTTTCTAGTCATAATTTTCATAGTCATAATTTTGATTGTGGCTGCATCCGAATCGCATACTTCCGTAGGCGAAAAACAGTGTGACAAAAGTATGTCCGAATTCACAGTACTCATAAAAGAGTAGGCAAAAAGTACCCGGACGACATACTTCTTCCGGTGAGATTCTGAAGCCTGCATATGATGGACACTTTACTATCCCATGAGGCCACAGGAGAGGATTTGTGAATGGCAGTGAAGTGATGCAACTGACGAATTCTCTGTCACATGATAATAACAGCATGGCGAATGTTGTACGTCTAGATTACATTCATACTACACACACACTCATACATAGAACATAATTCTTTAGCAGTCGTGAATTAAGTATTTTTCAATAACCTACTCAAGAGAGTATGCGATTTCGGACGCAGAAATTTTTTCAATCTAGGCTACTCAAGCCAAGAACTCAAGCCTGATACCTTAATTTTTAAGTGGCCAAAATTAAAGTGGAGCAAAAGGGACAACCATATAGGTACAGAATAATGGTTTGTTTTTTTGGCCATTTATAATTCAGTTACAAATTAAGAAAACACTGAAAATTCATAAACTGGAGTGGAAATGACAGGAAATACAAATTGGATGGAAAAATGGAAACAAAAATTCTAGAAAATAATCATTATAATATTTTACACTGTAGCCAAGGAAAATGTCAAATCAGCATCTAACATATTTTAAAACCACTTGGTTTATGCTTAAATTCGGGACATTTCAATAAATCAATAAATCTCAGTCAGATCTGAGATTCTATAAATGTGTTCAAGGTATCTCAGCCTCACAATAGAAATACACCAATCGTTAAATGGCACTGCGTCATTGCTCAAGGTTTGCGTTCGTACGCCTCCTCATAAAAGCGTCTGGACGTCTCGCTTTCACAGACCTGTGAGAGAGTAAGTTTAGAGCAGTGGCTAGTATTTCACTAGCTTTACGCATAGCTCCTCAAATGAACGAATGTGAAACACTTTGCAAGGAAAGCGCTATTCATTTGGCATTCGTTATTATTATGTGTTGATATTTAACGACTACCATGGAGGTTAATACCACGCTACCAGGGCGCAACTTCATAGACTTGCGCATCTTAACGCAGAAACTTCTCTCTTCGGCGAACCGGTCTCAGACATTTCTGGACAATGAAACGGAGCACGTCTCCGAAGAGGATTTGGACGTGAATACAGACATCTATTCTAAAGTTTTCGTCACTGTGATTTACGTGCTATTGTTTGTAATCGGGTGTTTGGGGAACTCGATCACCCTGTACACACTTCTCACGAAAAAATCTCTCCAAAACCTCCAGAGTACGGTGCACTATCACCTGGCGAGCCTGGCCATATCCGACCTGCTCATCTTGATCCTCTGCATGCCCATCGAGTTATACAACTTCATCTGGGTTCATCACCCGTGGGTTTTTGGGGAGGCTGTTTGTAAAGGGTACTACTTTCTGCGGGACGGCTGCTCGTATGCGACGGCGTTCAATATCGCCAGCCTGAGCGTGGAGCGCTTCATGGCCATCTGCCACCCGTTCAAGGCGAAGAGTATCATGTCGCGGAGCCGCACCAAGAAACTCATCAGCGCCATGTGGATCGCGTCTTTCCTCCTGGCTACTCCGATTCTTTTCACCATGGGACAGCGACTGATGCAGGATGAATTTATATGCACCACAGTTGTGTCCCCGATAACTGCTAAAACCGTTCTACAGGTGAGCGCGCACAGCTCTCTTTCCTTGCTTGCAACGAGTGGTTTATTTCCTTATATATTTCTGTACTGATTTGTTTATTGTTTGTATTACGTTGGATTAATTTTTTTCTAATAGCTAGGGCCTACTACAAGCAAAAGTGTCTTATCAAAAGGAACCTGTTGCGTAGCGTCGCTAATAGGTTAATATCTAATAATTTTTAAAGGAAAATTCTCAACATCCACCACGAATTTCAACATTGTAAATATGTGGGTTGGTTTTTCTTTTCTTTTTTTCTTTTCTTTTTTGCTAATAAACTTTTGATAAATAATGCCGTTCCACATGAGAGAAAGACTCCATTCATAGCATATAGCCTATATCAGTTTTCAAAAAAATAATACAAATCTTGTTTTATTCTTTATGGAGAGGGTCGCTCCCTCATGGGCAAGATCACGTGACCAGCAGCATCACCGACTACTAATAAAAATAGTAATGATGAAAATAGTAATGATTATAGTTATAGTAGCTTTTCCTTTATATAGTGCTTTCAGACAGGTATATTGCTTATCAAAAGTTCGGAGTATTTTTTGTATTACCCAAAAAAAATCTGAATGCACACTTTTTACGATGTTGAACTGCCATAGTTAAATCAGCCTAATATTTCTAGTGGAAATTCGTGTTGGATATTGGACATTTTCTTTTAAAGTGGACCATCGAAATAAAGTGATACCATTCTTTGTGCCGTATATTGCATTGATATACCTGTCTGAAAGCACTATATAAAGTAAAAGCTACTATAACTATAATCATTACTATTTTCATCATTACTATTTTTATTAGTAGTCGGTGATGCTGCTGGTCACGTGATCTTGCCAATGGGTGGTGATGGCGCAGTGGGTAAGACACATGCCTTTGGTGTGAGAGACCCGGTTTCGAATCTAATGCAGACACCATTGTGTCCCTGAGCAAGACACTTAACCCCTAGTTGCTCCAGAGGTGTGCAACCTCTGATATATATAGCAATTGTAAGTCGCTTTGGATAAAAGCGTCAGCTAAATGAATAAATGTAAATGCAATAGGCTGTCGTGAGATGAAGACTCCATTCATATCAGTTTAAAAAAATAATAACTATACAAATCTTGTTTTATTCTTTATGGAGCGGGTTGCGCCCTCATGGGCAAGATCACACAAGCAGCATCACAGCTACTAAAAAAAAGGATGATGATGATGATAATAATAATAACTTTTACTTTATAAAAGTTTACTTTTACTTTATTGCTTTCTATGGAAGTTTATTTCTGCCACAGAATAAAAAAATAAAAAGGTAATTGCGACTTTTTATCTCAAAATACTGAGAAAAAAAGTAACTCGTTGCAAGTTTATATCACGCAATTCTGAATTTAGAACCTGCATTTGTGAGTTTATTTCATGTAATTCTGAGAAAAAATTCTGAATTGCGAGATGTAAATTTGCAATTGTGAGAAAAAAAGTCTGAATTGTGAGATAAAAAGTAACAATTACCTTTTTTTTTTATTCTGTGATGGAAACAAGCTTCCAGACAGGTATCTAGGTAATTTATTGTACAAAGCATTATATAACTAAATTTCGAAAGTCCACTTTAGACATTCTCCTAACTTTAGGTAACTTTGTTAACTAACTACCTGTTAACTAACTGGATGTTGACGTCGGTTTATGACGTCAACCGACTTTCATTTACAACCAAAATGCAACCCCTGCAACCAAAATCATCCCCTGACTGACGTTACTGATTTCTACTCAAGGACCTTGAATGAAATGTATAGTGGAGTAAAAAAGTACAGTATTTGTCTTTCAAATGTAGTGAAGTTAAAGTAAAAATTTTGTAGAAAAAATTATACTCAAGTAAAGTACAGATACTCAAAAAGTGTACTTAAGTACTCAAGTAAATGTACTTTGTTACTGTCCACCTCTGACTACATGTCAACTTATAACATGAACCCACAACCTATACTAAACCTAACCTGACAGTCTACTGTAATACTCTAATGAGAGTTACTTGACATGTAGTTGCAAAGTTATAGGTAATGCCTAAAGTGGATCGTCGAAATAAAGTGTAACCCAAAGGGTTAACAAAGCAAAAAAAAAAAAAAAACATCTAAACAAAACAAGCAACTAAACAAAACACAATTTGCATACTACAGACACAAAACAACAACCAAACAGCAACACAACAACATAGTCAAACGTAAAATTTGACTCCAAGTTTACAAAATGTCAGCAAGTCCAAACATGTTGATTCACTATCACCAGTCCAAACAGAACGAGTGGAAAAATAAAAATGTCTAAACAAGCCGCCCTGAAGTCCAAAACCACTGGAAAAAAAATAAAACAGGCAAACATAAACAAAAACGTTCCAAGCACACTTTTACAATGCGTTAATTTTACCTTAAGTAGCTATTTCTGCATAAATAAGGATCTGGTCCTAAAAAATAACTTTTGCTGGTTTAAACTAATGTAGTGGATTAATTCAGTTGAATTGAAAACATTTTGCTGTGTATTTTATTCTAAACCGAGCAGTGGGTAAATTAATTAATATGTATTATGCCCCTTTGATTCTGTTGGAATTGCAAATTAAATGTTGATGTCTTCATTAGTCAAACACGTTAAAATGAGGAGCAGCAGGGTCTGTATTGCTTCTGTTGTGAGCACTGATGGTCATGAAAGTCTAAATAAATCAGTGATTCTAATGAATTTAACTACTCAGTTTCTTGAAAATACAAGCCTACAACCAATATGACTCTTGAGGGATTTTCTGTATATTAGTTTAAGTAACAAGTGCCAGGATTTGCTCCAAAATAAGGATTTACTATCTTACCGTTCCCTAAAGTAAATCTTAATTGCCTGGAAATGGAGACATTATGCTTTGATTCTTGGAAAATTGTTAGTGTAGACCTTAACCTTGTGCCTGCCTTATTCTTTTCTATTACACCAGTGAATCTAATTTATTTTGGAACACTATCCATTTACATGGACAGAAGGTCTCCTGCTTGTAACACTCAGCTTTCCATCTTTCTACATTTGAAAAAACAACAACAACAACAGAGTTAGACTGAAAACGAGAACACCTGTGGAGTAGCATAAGAGGCAACATAATGTATTAAAATTATCCTTAATTTTAAATGGCATATATTACAGCATTCAGTGCTTGAAATGCCTGTGGATAATCGGAACTCATAGCACGGCGGAAACAGTCAGTGAGTCACAATCTGAATCAGACAGAAAAAAGAGAAGGAGAATATGAATGCACACCGAAACAGAGGCAAAGCTGCATACGAGATGAATTGGTCCTGACAAATTCCATCAGTCGGTGCTGAGTGTGTGCATCATCCTGAGATTTTCCAGTCAAAAGAATGATAGTTGCAATAGCAGCTTATTGCTACAGGACAAACGGTTCATCATGTTTAAGTCTTGGCAAATTGGTTACCACAGAAAACCCCTAGATGTCCTCTTTCATATACAGAAGGTTTCACAATGAAATACAATCCAGTAGTATACATTGCTATAGCAATACCTGAAATTCCAGTGCTCTGTGGGACACAAAATGATTGCAGAAAGAAAACAAATGTTCTTTTATTGCTTTTTGTGATGTGATATAACCTTGCCACATAAAGTGTAAACTGACATAAATATGTGTTACTGCATCTTTCGGTTCAGAAATGGTTTCTGGAATAAGAGCATGGTGCCTTTCTAATGGTTCATCGCCTTCTGTTTGTTATTTTGATCTTTCTATTGCACAGTCTGAAAATAATCCAGTACTGCACTTGAAATTATGTGTATACAAATAAAGTAAGACCGACATATGTATATATATATATATAGCAGCAGGCAGTGCATGATGTTGGCGAGGATAACTGGCTGATAGTAGATATTAGACTGGCACTTTGTTCTGGCAGGTGTTTAGAGCTCTTCTAGCCATAAAAAGAGGGAGAGATGGAGTTGAAGTTGAGTTGAAAATTTCATGTTCTGACATTTCACCCCTTCATTCAACAGTGCAACACCATTCATAAAGCACAGCTTTCTGGGTTCAACAAAACACCTGCAAAAAACACTTCTTATAGGGAGATTAAATTTGGTAGTAAATGTAACAGAAAAAAAATGTATCACAGTTTTCACAAAAATATTAAGTAGTTTTCATTTTTTGATAATAATAAGAAATGTTTCTTGAGCAACAAATCAGCATTTTAGAATGATTTCTGAAGGATCATGTGACACTGAAGACTGGAGTAATGATGCTAAAAATTGATCAATTAATGTGCAGGCTCTGTGAGCAAAAGGGACTTTCAAAAACATTAAAGATTCCAAACTTTTGACCGGAAGTTATTTTAGGTCTGTCAGTCAATGCATTAACTTAACATTTTAAATATCTTTAATATAATAAGTTTGAAAACATTTACTGACTTTACATATTATTGTATTATTTTGTTCTGCTTTCTAAACGCTTGCCAGAGGTCATTATTCTATTGAGAGCCCTAGTGTTTAACAGTAAGAAATAAAAACAAAAACAAATGTGTTATTAAAATAAAATATTATCTCTTTTTTCTTGCAACCCTGCTGAAATATACATCATAAACCAGCATGTTGGTCTAGGCTGGTTTATACTTGTATAGTGCTGGTATAGCTGGTGGACCAACATGCTGTTCTTTAGCAAAACTGAGCTGGTGTAGCAAACCAGCAACCGGCATGCAAAACATATACTGTACCTGGATGCTGCATTTTTCAGCAAGAAACGCACTGTTCCCTTTATCTTGCTCAGTTGTAAGAAAGCCTACTCTGTAAAATATTTAATGTTATTTAAATATGGTTTATTTAAGACAAATAATGAATGCAATTGTCTGATGCAACAGTATCAACAATAATATCAAAACTAGCCCAGGCTGCCAACACAAAAATATATATTTGCGCGCACAACCGGAAATAAATGTTATATGACACATGTCAGTGAGCTCTGCAATCAGCAAAGATAGAGATGACGTGATGTCTCTGTT